CGGACACGAGACATCCATCCCCTATATTCCCACCCCGGCAACCACACCCTCATTTTTCAAATTCTCAAATCCATGACGTAAATTAAGCCTTGTCCAGATCTTCGGTTGCTAAGCTCGAGGAACACTTTGGCAAGCTAGCATCTTGGGCAAAACTGAGATCATTTGAACCTCTTGATCATTAGAAGATGCATCAGGCTGACTTGTGGGTTTATGTTGATGAGAGTGTGATGTATTTTGCTGCTTATCCTTCAGATAATATTTCATCAGCAGGGGAAGGAAGAATGGACTGGTCAGTCTTGAGCCACCAGGATAGCCTTCCACATATCATGTTCCTCCCTTGAGTGGTAACTCTTTTCTAACCTTAGAATCCTGAACCAATTTGCTTAAGGGACTCTGTCATCTACAGGAGTCCATAGGTTGATAAAACAGGTTTCGTGAACCGTCGTCATTAAATTATATGAATACACTTAACAATGAATATAACACACACACACAAAAAAAATTTATTATGAAAGAAAAATTCATAGTTCAAACATAAAATTGGTTCGAAGGGCACAAAATTCAGTGATTTCCACTATGAATTTACATATGTTCCACAAGTCCATTGAGTAGTGCATGTGCACCTATGTATCTCGAAAATGCGGTGCATCTCTAGAAACTTCACAAAATGATCTGCATCTTGTTTCGGGAGGCGGACATGTATTCCAGGCTTCTCAAAATCATGTGTGTGGCTGCCCTTCGCCCGTGGCATTTTGTTCTCTCTAGTACTCCGGTTGAAACATCCTCACCACAGTGTAGGAAAATTTCTCCATGGCCTCAATGCATGTACTCTCCTCCCATCCGGACATACTCATCAACAACATATGGATGCTCATCATCACCATCATGTCAGCTTCTCGTCATCATTGGTGTCTAAATCGAACGAATCGATGAACTCTTTGAATATGTAGTCATCAAGTTCCTTGTAATCAAAATCATCATCCGACGAACTCGTTTGCCTACAAAATGAGTAAAAGAATCTACAAAACACAGCTCGGATATTTCATCGAACACATAGCAAGCGAGGTGTATGTCCGGTGTAGTAGGACATACCGGCGTGGTGCTCGTGTCTGGCACGGCAAGGATGTCCGGGAGAGGTTTGGGGCTCGTGGTGGGGACATCGCGGGTTCAACACAGCGTCAGAGCTTGGCTACGGGCATTGTAGAGAGAAAGAAGAGAGGAAGATGGCATGTAGGGCAAGGGTTGAAGACGATTTGAAGGGGTTTAGGATTAATTTAACCTGTTAGATATGATGTTATGTACATGTCCGGGCAGCCCAAATCTGAAAGGGGGTGGGGCGTAGTAGGGGTCCGACTGGAGATGCTGTACCCCCTAGCAAAGCACCAAAGCAATCATGACCCGTTTAGCCCCAACCATGCTAATTGTTGTGCCGAAAGAAATTTTTGCAAACCAACCTATGGTTGGATGGTTAGGAGAACAGTGATATCCCTAGCCCATCAGGATTCAAGTCTAAACTTGACATTGGTGCTCGCATTATTCCTGAATTTATTTCAGGCATCCCGCGATGTTCTTCTCAGTTTCTCAAAGGTGCTCAAGGGTGTGCATGTGTGAGTTCATACGGGCGAGTGTATGCTCGTGTATACTATGAGCAACTTCAATTATACTGTGTTTTTCTTAAACATCCTTTACCTCTATTAAAAAAAGGATTTCACTAAAATTTAGGACCCTCTTAGCCGTCGAACATTCTCTAGTAGGGGGGGGGGGATATTTAGAACGATTTTGCTGACAATTTTAACCGTGAGGGAATGCTAATTTCTTCAAAACCACATTTGCTAGGAGGAAATGACAAGAAGGTATCTTTCGTTTAAAATTGCCACCATCTGATCTCGCGAAGCAACTGTGAGGAAACAAACCCCTTTCCGGCTGACATTCGTCAGATAACATCACCAAAAAAATTTAAACAAGCAGTTTCAGTTTCAATCTGGGAGACGAGTACAATGGCTATATTCCAGAAGGCAGGATCAAAATTCGAGTAAACAAGCTTTCGCTACAAAGTTACTCCTACAGAGTAGTAGTACAGTACAGATGTGATTATTGATTTGCATCTCCCAAATGTGTGATCATGTGAAGCAATCTTGATCCTCACATGGAAACTCTTGCCGCTCTAGCAGTAGATCAAATCCATGGCAGTACTGCTACTCGCCTCCCTCCACCCGGCGAGGAGGAACTCTGCTCCACTTCCGGATCCTCGCGCCCAAGCCCTTCATCTCCTCCACCTGCAGATACAGAGAACACAGACGCACGGTGTAAAATTTGCCGCATCCAGATCGAGAATCCGTCACACGGATGCGGGGGGTTTTGGCTCCGGCGACTTACCGATCCGACGCCCGCCGCGGACACTCCGGCGGTGACGGTCGTGGCGCCGGCGCCGACGAAGAGCGAGGCGACGGCGAACGCCCTGAACGGCATCGTCATGTCGCTGCCGCCCTTGCCTCGCCGGAACCAAACCAGCGCGCCGGTGATCTGGGCCGCACTCGCTCCAAGCCACCAGGGCCATGCCTTGCCCTTCTTCCCGCCGCCTCCACCCAGCTCATCCATCACCGCCGCCGCCGCCGCCGCCGCTAGGTTATTTGGGGGACACCACAGCTCGGTGGGAGTTGCAAACTATGCACACACTGAAACACACAAGGCTCACCGACACGTGGGGTCCTTGGCAGGCCGTGTCATGTCCATCCACTGACGTGTGGGACCCGTTGCCAGTTCACCCCCAACATAACGGGGTAGGCTCTTCTCCCCCACCTCTCAGTGATCACCAGTAGTGCCATTCCCCAATCCACACCTCAACCGCCCAGCTTCCATGGCTCGGAGCAACCCGGGGCTTCTCCTGGGGCTCCTGCTGCTGCGGCTCACCTGGTGCGTGGTGAGTCGTTGATCCGATCCGATCCGATTTTTGTGCAGGTCGATTTTGTTCGTGTTATCGTTGATGGAGTCGCTGCGATGGGGGGATTTTGAACCAGGCCGTGGATGGCGGAGGCGTGGAGGAAGGGGGCTTCGTGTTTCCGGTGGTGGTGAGCACCTGGCCGTTCCGGGAGGCGGTCAGGGCGGCGTGGGACGTGGTGAAAACCGGTGGCGCAGGGGGCTCGGCTGTGGATGCTGTCGTCGCTGGCTGCTCCGCCTGCGAGGAGCTCCGCTGCGATGGCACAGGTCAGTTGCTTGCTGCCGTCCTTCTCTGTACAATTCGTCCATGTGTGCCTGTGATGGGGATTGGTTGTGGCCTGTGGCTTGTGGCATGGTATCATTTCAGTCTCAGTGGGAGCACTGGGGTGGATGGCGACGAGAAATGGACATACCTGCTAAAACCGATATTTATAATACCGAAGTTACATTTCGTTCCGGGGAGGTTGATTGATATGATATTTTTCCGGTTGCAACTCCCAGAGGCTTGCTTACATAGAAACCAGGGATTCTGACCAATTATTCTGTAAGCAAGCCTATAAATGGGTTTGCATACAAGAAAAAAATAAAATCTCTGATGAACATACTTGCAGGTACCAGACAGCAAAATGATATGGCAACTCAGAAAATAAATCAATAGCTCAAATAGGATTTTATTCGGTGTTTCAATACTTTTTTTATGGTGAGAACCTTAAGCCTCACTACTGGATTTTGCAAGCCTACTTAAAACAATTCTGGAATAAACTTAATTCTTTAAATTTGTCGATAACATCTATTATCAGAAGCGCTATTTTACACTAATTTAAAAATCAAGTGTACTCTTTATTGATGTATTGCCCTGGAGATCAGTACTTCTTGGAGCTTAATTTAACTATGAGAAAATTATGATGGATATCAAGAGTTAAGTCTCAATAATCAAAAGATAAAAAACATTGGTCAATCCAGCTTGCCCACTCAACCTATTTACTAACGTTACCAATTCACTCATTTATTTATCTCTACCTAACATCGTAAAAACTGAAGACAACGGTAAGTGCAGTTGCGGTTATGCCGCAGATAAATATTAGCAATTAAATGATACTTTGTTCTGAAGTACTCGCCTGTTGTTCCCATTGCCTTGTGTTTGAATCCATTAATATTCTCTATGCACTAAATATATAGCAGAACCCCATGATTGTGTGTTTGCAACTTTTTTAGTTTCACAACTTGCCTATTTTTGGTGTGTATCTGAATCAACCATAGTACTGGTTTTAACTGGTTTATAACTTTATGCAGTTGGTCCAGGTGGAAGTCCAGATGAGAACGGTGAAACTACCTTAGATGCTCTTATCATGAATGGGGTAAAAGCTGCTTTAACCACTCAAGCTACAGTATATGCTGATGTTTATGTTGCGGCATTTATGGTGGATGTATTCTTTTTTGCTTAAGAAAACTGGCAGAAGACAATGGAAATTGGAGCTGTGGCTGCCATGAGATATGTGAAGGATGCAATTATGGCAGCAAAGTTGGTCATGGAGCATACCGGGCATACTCTTCTTGTTGGAGAGAAGGCGACATCCTTTGCAATTTCAATGGGTCTTGCAGGACCAACTGACCTGAGTTCACCAGAGTCAATTGAGAAATGGTCAAATTGGAGACAGAATAATTGCCAACCTAACTTTTGGAAAAATGTTGCTCCTGCTGGCAACTGTGGTCCATACCATCCTATAAATATACCTAAGGACCCTGTTAAAAGTGCTGTATGGGAGGATCAAGGAATCACCTGTCAGGAATGGCTCCAAAATGATAATTTACTAGAACCGACAAGCTCCCATTTCAACTCTGTTAATCGCCACAACCATGACACAATCTCTATGGCCGTCATTGACAAGGTACCTAGCGCGTTTATAGGAAAGTCACTCTCTATTAATATGAAACTAAACAGTGTGCTTTTGTTGAGATGGGTCATGTAGCAGTTGGCACATCAACTAATGGTGCTACGTTCAAAATTCCAGGAAGGTAAGCATCTTGCCTCTGTTAGGGAATTTGAAATATTGACATTACAATTTAGTTGGCCACCTGTTTTTTGCTAAATCAGTGATCTGTCTATCGAATGCATCTGCAATAATGTATGAAAAACTGCTGTAATTATTTTTTGAGGGAAATGACTGCAGTAATTCTTTTTTGAGGGAAAGGACTGCAGTATTTAGTTGGCGTTGTATCTTCTATATTCGAACTTCTGTCTGAGGGATAATAACAGCCATAGAACTCACCACTGCCGAATCCTCTTGTAGTATTGATACTATGCGCTGGTATATTTGCAAAGTCACTAATGTGTGGCGAGTCTTGATGATGTTGTTACTTTATTTATGGCTGGATAAAAGCTAACAAAATAGATGGTGCATAGTTGGATGTTACATAACCTCATTAATAGTGGGACTAATATGTCTCAGTATATAGGTTTACAATATTTATCCTAACTGGATTATGACAGACATATTTTTGGTTTGTCCAACTTATATTTACGTAGAAATACTACTTGAAGCTTCCTTTTGATATGTATATCAACTTCTGAAATACTCTGGTATCATATATCAACTCCTGAAATACTCTGGTATTGTATATCAACTTCTGAAATACTCTGTATATTTTGACAACATAATGACGTTGGTGTCATGCCACAGTTTTCCCTTTTTCGATGTTGTGGAAGTGGAACAGCTATTTACCTCTTGATAGGTAGTACTGACTAATCATTTGCTTCCAGGGTAGGTGATGGACCAATACCAGGATCTTCTGCATATGGTGATGACGAAGTTGGGGCTTGTGGAGCTACTGGTGATGGTGATATTATGATGCGCTTCCTTCCGTGGTAATTGAGAAATGATTTTGTTAGAAAACTTATTGTTCTTCTTTCCCACAAACCATACTTTTTCTTGTTTTGACCCCTAACTTCATTAGTCACTAGCAAGCTGTTATTTTCTCTGAACTCACTTTAATCATGCACCTATTCCCCCTCTGTGGTCTTACTTGGAAGTTACATCCTAGGATATGATGGTATTCAACCATGTCCATATTCTAATTTGGTTCGAAGGCTGAGTAATCTAATATGAATTTTAGCTTATGGTTTTTTATTAGTAGCCCAAGTTAAGCAATGGTCCCATGAACTGCGATGTTTTTTTTATTTAAACATTTATGTGATGTTATTGCAGTTACCAAGTAGTGGAGAGCATGCGACTTGGAATGGAGCCTCGAGATGCTGCCGTGGATGCTATATCAAGAATTGCTCGTAAGTACCCAGATTTTGTTGGTGCTGTATTTGCGATTAACAAGAAAGGAGTGCATGCCGGGGCATGCCATGGATGGACCTTTCAGTATTCTGTCAGGAATTCCAGCATGCAGGATGTGGAGGTCATCACAGTAACACCTTAACATAGGCAGATCCTTGTTAAAACAAAAAGGCTGATTCGCCAATAAGGTGTATTCCTCTATGTCAAGTCCTCTCCATTCACTCCCATGGTAATGCAACAATACCATGGGGGGCTTGTTCTCGAGTCTTATATTGGACAGCAGTTTTCTATTGAAACTGCCATGTTATATAATGGTAGTAGACTCATTGAATGCATGCATTGTAGACTTGTCGAGAAAATGCTGGAATTGCTTATTGTCAACTTTTCTCTTGCAATTACGAGTTTTAATGTACTAGCCAGGTGTACTTCTTTAAGTCATGTTCAGAGTTTTTGTGTGGAATAGGTCATCTTCAGAGCTGGTAAGGGCATATAATATTTCACGTACGCTTTGTCAGCTTTGAAGATTCCCAGAAAACCTCCTCCTTTGTTGTTGTTTTTTGCATTTGGTTTATTCCGCACGTTTTCTCCTTGATCAACCTAAGTTTGTTGGCAGTATCGAGTTGACACCCATTTCTCTATGAATATAAATATGTTGTCTTGTTGTTTATTTTATCAATCATTGTGTCTTGCATATTTATCGCCATAATGCAAGGTTGTCAGCATTGTTGATTAAGCGAGAAAAAGGTTATCTTTGATGATGGTCGTGTTAGGCAGCAACTATTGTTGTTTATTCTCTGAATATGCTTTTGTTGTCGAGGATGATGTGCACTAAATTGCACCTTTGTTTTTCGCCTGAAGACCTCAGGTTATTGTGATCTTGTTTGCAGGAGATGAATGCGTGTCGCTTCGGGTCGCGATCATGTTTGCACGAAATGAATGTGTGCAAGCCACCAGGACAGGGAAGAAACTTGGATAATAAACCCATAAATAAGAGCATTGCTGTTTCACTACATGCATTTTGTTAGAAAATCGGCTCCCAGTTGCATTGTTTGCGTGATGGTGCCTGGCCCGTTACCGCGCCCCCCGAGCTTCCGAGGGGCCACCCACTCTTTCTCAGGGAACAACTGGAATAATGGTACTGTTGTGGATTGCTTATCCGGAGAGAGGTCCCCGTCGACGCTATGGGACACATGGATCAAACAGGGCAACCGTTCGAAATGATTTGAACGGAAAATACCACATGACAACCGTTCGAAATGATTTGAACGGGGTGACTAGTCATTTTTCTCCGTTTTCCGTGTGTTAAGCTGGATGAGGGTGACCGTAGTCGTCGCTTGCATACACCGTCATGGCAGGACCACAAACAAAACCCACCCTGTACCAGCACCATCAAGTGGACTTGGAAAATAGTTATCCACATCTACTGCGAAATAAGCACTCGGTTGAAAAACTAATCTTTAGTAGTAGGTGCCACATAAGGAGACTATTAATCCTCTCGAGACCGACCCGTCTCTGCGGTTTGTTGGTGCGAAAGCTCCGCCATAGCCTGATAGCTAGGACCCCCGGCCACGTCCTTGGTCGTCGTCGTGAGAAATAAAGATCTCTCTAGCTCTGCCCCGTTGTGTAACATGCACCCGCAAGGCGGAGCAACAAGTTGATAAACGCACTGAGAGCAATCATTAGAGGCAGGGGGTGTAAACTAAGCGCCATCAACAGGGTAGAGATAAGAGAGCGTCTTCTTCGCCGAAAAGAAGGCTATATATGCAAGCAACCCCCCAGCTGCAGCTCCACAAGGCAAAGCAACAGCACTTGCCCAAGCAAAGCAACGAAGGAAGCTACCTCGCCCGTGGAGTAGCTAGGGAGCACACGGCGACCCAGTTGCTGCTATCTTGCTCCGTGGAGAAGCGAGGGAAAGGGAGGGAGGCCTGCAAAGCCGCGGCAAGTGCCGAGAAGCCTGGGCGAGGAGAGATTTGACGGGCGAGAGGCGAGGGCGTGGAGCTGGTCGAGGAGGCATGCTGATACTGGAGCTGGGGGCGTGCATCATCCCAATGACGCTCATCTTCGTGCCGCTCCGGCGGCTCGTCCTGCTGGTGGCCAAGCTGCAGGAGCTGGAGGAGTGCTTCATGCGCCCCAGGCCGCCGCCCCCGCACATGTCCGCCGACATGTACGGCCACATGTCCACCCTCCACACCATGGCCATCATGGTGTGAACTGTGAAGGAAGGAGGTTCGGCCGGGGCTCTTTCGCCCTTCGCCGTGCGGTGCGCGCTTGCTCTGCTGCCGGGGGAGGCGCGCCATGGCGGGGAGATTCTTCTTCACCTTCGTAAGGTTGGATTTTTCTTAGGATTGCTGATTCCCAATCATTGTACGTAGATCGTCTCTCTGTAAATACCTCCTCTCCTTCTTGCTATTGTCATTGTCTGTTCAGGCATACTTTTTTTTTTTTTTTGCGAAATGTTCAGGCATACTATCTTGCTGTCAGAAAAGAAACAACAAATACTAAGCACTGTGGTTCAGGCATTGTGTGCTTTCAACATGTTTCCAGGCACATGAGCTGCAGCAAGCCTGCGGGCAAACATATTTTTACTGAATTACTGTGAAAATTGAATGAAGTGTAGATTTTTCCAATGCCAGATGTATGTGTTTTTATATCTATACAGCCAAGGTTTTGGCTACCGGCGAGAAACGCGGTAACCGTAAAATACCGAGTGAATGCCGTTCAAAATTTACAAATGAATTTCGAACTTAAATTTATTTGAGCTAGTTATATATTTGTATTATACTCATATTAGAAAAAAAAAGATCGCTCGTGTCGCTCTGGTTGGTCGGGTCATCTCCAACGCCGGCCCCCAGAACAGACATACATTTGTCCGCTCAAGTGTCCGGACGCGTCTGCCGATGGTGATACACGAGCCGGCCATCCAATTCTCACCGTTAAAGTTGGTCCACAATACAAACAAATTCAGACAAAATTCATGCAAACATGGCGGAATTCATTCAAACGGACTTAAATTCAACATATTTTAAATAAACTGGACGATATTTCGTTCGTTCAACTAATAAAACCTAAAAAAACTTAACTAGCTTGTAGCGGACAGTGAATGGTCGGCGGCACCTTCGTCGTCGTCTATGTCGTCGTGGTCAGAGTGGTCCTTCCAGCGGCAGAAGGGTGCGGGGGCCCTGGCCAACCATTGTCTGGCGCTCGCGAAGGAGCC